TCCCTCTCTCCCCTTCCCCCCAAGAATGTCCTTTCCGTTTGTTTGTTGTAACAACTACAAAAAAAGTATAGTTGTTATATCTTCTTCCCCGCCCCCCCTGGTTTTTTTTTGTGTGTGTTTGTGGGTAAATTAATTTGTTTATTATTATTATTATTTTTTTTTAGCTCCCACAAATAAGTGAGAACATGTTGTATTTCTTTTTCTCTGCCTGACTCGTTTCACTCAATATTATTCTCTCAAGGTCCATCCATGTTGTTGCAAATGGCAGTATTTCATTCGTTTTTATGGCTTCGTGGTATTCCATTGTGTAGATATACCACATTTTCCGTATCCACTCATCCGATGATGGACATTTGGGCTGATTCCAACTCTTGGCTATTGTAAAGAGTGCTGCAATGAACATTGGGGAACAGGTATACCTTCGACTTGATGATTGTTATAAAACATCTGCTGGCTGCTGGAGTTTGGTCATAGTTAATATCAAGAGGAAGCTGAATCAAGTAGTGTGAGATAAAAATCAATTGTACTTGTAATAAAAATTACTCAGTGAAATGTTGTCAAGCATGCATAACTACCTTATTGTGAAGTCTCAGTTTACCTAAGTATAGTTCTAGAAATGTTTTTTCATGCATTATTAGGTATAATGAAGTTCTAGAATTTGAAGATACTTTGAAATTGGTTCAGAGTATAGAAAATTCTGGATAATAGATGGTCTATCTAAGTACTTTTTTTTTTTTTTTGCTTCTTGACATTTTAGGATATCTTGCTTTTAGTAAATAAAGCTAGGGTGCTTGTGGTACATGGCCACAGAACACAGGCCATGTCTCAGGGGACAAAGACTGGGAGTTTGTATTCTATAACTGCACAGTGTTGGCATTATCCCAATGGGCAGAAACCTCCTGGTTTGTTTCATTACATGATTTGTTTCATTACATGATTGGGGAGTGGCTGTCTAGCTCAGGACACACATGCTACTCTCCCTTCTCTGAATTCCTATATATACCATACAACAAATGAGCAATTGGTTGTCACCTCCTCTTTGGTTCTAGATTCTGATTATTTCCTGGAAGTGGGATTTCTTGGTCAAAATGTATGAGCAGCTTTAGGGTTCTTGTTTTATACATGTATCCACTCCCCCACCAGTTAATATTGTTAACAGTTTGGCACATATTTTCACATAGTCTCGTATATTCTCTCTCTGTCTCCATCTCTCTGTCTCTCTGTCTCTCACACACATTTTCTTACTTTTGAAATAAATTACATCAAGGAACTTCACCCCTAAATAATGACCATCTCATACATAACTATATCAATACAGCCACACTCAAGAAAATGAACAGTATTTCCATAATACTATTTAATTGAGTCATATATTTCTAAAAGATTCTCAGTGCCACCTTTTTCCCACACTGCTTTTTCTGCCTCGATCATCCTGTCTAATTTATCAGGCCCTCCACTTTCCCTAGGACCCAAATTCCAATTCCATTTCTTCCATAAAACTTTCACTGACAACCCCAACTCTCATAAATCTCTAGCGCACTCACGCTCCCTGAGTACTAAATTATCTGTATCAGTCACTCATGTGACTCTGCTCAGTACTTTTTCTCTATTGTCAAGTGCTTCATGTACATATCTCTTGTCTTCCCAGTGATATTTTTGTCTTGTGAACTTCAATTTTTTTATTTCCCACCTTCATAATTTTGTCACGTCCTTGTCAAATTTACTTACTCTTTAAAAATCAGCTAAATTAATAGATAGATACGTTATTTTTCCCCTAAGCAATCTAGAGAATTCTAGATTGTGTTCGATGTGAGATATTAATTTCCTAAGACTGCTGCAACAAATTGCCATGAGCTGGGTGGCTTAAAACAACAGAAATTTATTCTCTCATAGTTCTGGAGGCCAGAAGTCCAAAATCAAGGTGTTGTCAGTGTCACACACCCTCCAGAGGTTCTAGGAGAAAATCTGTTCCTTGCCTCTTCCAGTTTCTGATGTATGCAGGCATTCCTTGGCTTTTGGCCACATCACTCCAATGTCTGCCTGTATATTAACATTGCCTTTTCTGTGTCTCTGTGTGTCTCTCCTCTGTATGTCTCTTATAAGACATAGATCATTGAGTTTAGTGCCCGCCCTGATAATCCAGGATTATCTCATGATTCTTAACTTAATTATACTGCAAAGACCCTTTTTCCAAATGAGGTAACATTCATGGGTTCTGGGGATTAGGATGTGGACAAATCTTTTTGGGTGCAACCACTCAGCTCACGACAGTGTGTTTTATATATATATATATTTTTTTCTGATGTACAATAAAATAAGTATACAATTATCAAAATAAAATAACTTCTTCCATGTATCATCCCAAAACAATCTTACATGCTTTGAGAAAGAAAAAGTCTTTTATCTTATTGTTTTTCATATTTTCAATAGTTTCATGCTAGGTATTAATATTTCCACATTTTCATGCAAGGTGCTAAGCAAATACCTAATAGATGAATATATGCACACATATTATATGTACATATGTACATTTCTGATCTCATTTTACCTGGATGTGGCTGCTACTATCTCATTCCCTTAAGATTGTCTAGTTCATTAGTTTATACAAATTGATGAATCCTTTGTCCCACAGTGCTCCATTTTCTGGTGCTATTGACATGGTAGTGATATAAGACTCGAAATTCTCTATGATTATATTAAGTCTAGCTTTCTAATAATATCCATTTCCATCCACCTCTCCTCTCTCTAATACCCAAACACATGATGTCCTTATTAGAGAAAGATTGGAGTTTCAGAGGATTAAACTGGCTTTTTGACCTAAACAATGAATGTGAGCAATATATGTATGTGCATGCATGTGCACCCAGGCATGAAAATGATTAGTCTAAGCCCAGAGCAAAGCTAGAAGGGACCTGTGTATACATACAGCTTTCCTCTTTTTGTTTAGGAGGAGCCTGGGCTTTATCTTGTTACCATGACAACACCCCTTCCTTTCCATTCCACCTAGTGTGTTGTCTGGAGTATTTTGTTCTTCCATTTTCTTTCTAATCTTGCCTTCCCACTTTCAAGCTCCACATCAAAGATATTTCAAATAAATGAAAAGTGGATGATACTTTGTTTTTAACAATTTATTCCCCTGACCCTCCATCACTCAGGGTAAGATAGGGCAGAACCTATCTTCATCATATGCTAAAGAGCTTAAGTATTTATAAAATTGACCACTTTTTCTCTGGGTTTCTTTCTAGTTTGATGATTTTGAAAAGAGAATTCTCAGTGCACACAAACAAAAATTATTCACTATGATAGTGTATAGATTTGGAATGCTTATCTTTAGACCATAAAGTAAGGTCAACCTTTAGAGTTGCTTTTGAGTATGGTCTGTTTTCTTGAGGAAGCTTACTTTCAGAAGATAGCATTCACATCCAGAAAATACTTGCTACAGGCTATATTCACTTAGACATAACAGGCACACTTGAAAGTGATATGTACAGAAAGAAATATGTGATAATATGCTTTGAGGAACTTACTATTAAAACATTAAAATTCAAACAACTGGCCCTCCAACATTTCTTTCAAAAGTCTTATGATGATGGCAGAAGAGGAGTAGTGACTGAAGCCCTGTTGGAGACAGGGTTGTTTTGGTTAATAAGAATTGGCAGACCACAAGACAGGCTTAGACTACAAAAGGAACAACTCATGATGGCTTTTGGGAGAAGGGTACTATAACACATCTCATCAAGCAATAAGAATATGTTCTCCATTTTCTATACTTTCATCAGTCAGCTTCCATTTTGTGTATTCCTCAATAACATGTTTTTTAATAAAATGAGTAGCTGTAGATTGAGTACCAGCTAAGCACAAGGTCTTGAGCTAATAGCATTAGTGTAGGCAGTACTTAGCATCTTGGAAATGATGTTTGTTTAGCAAGAGAGTAAGGTTACCAAAGTCATCTCCATTTTCTATTTAGGATTCAAAACTTCAGCTTCCTTAGGTTTCTGAGCCTAAAGCACAGAGTTCAGAAAGTCCCTAAAAAACTTAGCTAGGTCTTTCCTTAATGCTTACTGGCAGATTGTGTCTATTTATACATCTGCACCCACAAGTCTACATTTTTATAGAAAATGATATTACACCAAACTTCTTCTTATGCTTTCTATTGTAACTCTATTTCTCATTGTCATTGACAGCCATGACAGACAGACTGGAAGGAGATACTAATTCCCGTTCTTCCTTAGAAATTCCTTGAATTTTGCCTCTTTGATCTGGGAATAGAGCTAGTCAGGTGAAGAGAGAAGTGGAAGATATAGAAAAAATGTGAGCTTAAATTGAGTTGGGGAATTCAGAGGGCAAGGGATTTGTATGTTCAGCAGAGGCATTCTTGACAACTTCCTCTCCCTACTCCTCCCCCTCCAATAGAATTCTACTGCCCTCCTTCCCTGGATGAGCTGAATCCACCCATGAGGGATGGATTACATTAGAAATATGTGAAACAGTGGGACAAATCACAGAAATCCTGTCCTAGAGGAGCAGATTGAAGTAATGTTTGTACCATAAACCAGGCCTGAGTTGAGGTGGAGCCTTGAAAATCAAGAAACTAAGAATGTCACAACATAGCGGAAAGAAAAGCAAATGACAGTCTGGCTCAATTCTGGAGATAAAGCATGGATGATTTTTTGATGCCTTTACTCATTCCTAGCATGCTCTGTGGGTTTTTTAAATGAAGTCAGAGCAAGAGTTCATGATCTTATTATCTCTTGTCTAATTTTTTAAAAAGCATAACCATAATATAATGATCACATCTTCAAGTTAATAATAATTCCTTAATATCACCCAGTCAATATTTGAATTTCTCCAAATGTCTCATAAACATCCCACCAAGATTTTTTTCCTTGCTTTCTTGCTGATCTCTTTGAGTTTAGTCTTATTCCTCTTTCAACCTATCTTCATTGAGAAGCTAGTTAAATCTCACAGCAATAGCTCTGTCCATGTCATTTCCCTCCAAACAATTATTTTCTGTCATCCAGCCTTTTCTTGACCACCACCTTCCCTCACTTTTCAAATACATAAAACTAAAGCATGGTTATATTTTATATAGAGGATGCATTCCTGAACATCGCTCATAATAGAAAATTCCCATAACTCAAATATAATGCTGATAAAGAATGGAAGCTTGTTTGTTTACTGGCTAAAGTGGCACCACCATCTCCAAGGCCGTCTTCAAGATCCAGAGTGTTGCTTGGCAATGACCTATGCAGTTCACAATATCCTTGACCTTTAAATTCATGAAATTCTTAGGCTGGGGCTTTACATATAAAGTGATCATTCATTAGTATTTTTTAAATATCCCACAATTTAAAATTTGCACAATTCAATTTTACATGTAATCTAACTAACTGCACTGCATCATTATTTCTTAAGCATGTTGTCTGTTGTTGTGTTTGCAGACAGGAATATCTTTCTTACCTCCTCTCTGCCTACAGAACTATTAATTCTCTATGACTCATCTAAGAGATCACTTCTTCTTTGAGGCCTCCTCTGTGTAGATCAAATGAATCATTCCCTTTTCCTTTTCTAAAACATCTTGCTTATCTATCTGTTACATCACTTATTATTGTGTGACTTGTAAGCTGCTCACATCATTCAATCATTATAGTTAGTATGTACTTCTTGCCTACACCTTATTCATGTGTGCTGCCACTAGGCTTATAGTGGATACTCAAAGTGTTGACTTTAATATTGCAGGATTATTATGAAAATTGAATGAAATAATTTTTATCAGTTGCCTGATACAGTACCTAGTAGTTGTGTTCAGTAAAGTTTCCCTTTCTTTTTCCATACAACACCATGTATTCTTTCCATGAGAAGAGAATAAAGATTTTCTTTCCTTCATTGCTAATATGTCTCTTCAAAATACTAACACTGTTTTCGCATCACTCATTTGTTTATTTATATATTTTAGGTCACTGCCCCTGTTCAGATCAGAGATTCCCCTGAGACAGCAGACAGAAGTAATATGACATCTCCACCATTCCTGGATGCCAACCCCATGGAGAACCCAGCACTGTTTAATGACATCAAGATTGAGCCCCCAGAAGAACTTCTGGATAATGATTTCAGCCTGCCCCAGGTGGAACCAGTTGACCTCTCCTTTCACAAGCCCAAGGCTCATCTACAGCCTGCTAGCATGCTGCAAGCTCCTATATATCCTCCCAAGCCACAGTCTGCTCCCCAGACCCTTGAGGTATCCACCTCAACATCTGACATGGGCACTTCAGCAAACATCCCTACTGTTCTGACTCCAGGTTCTATCCTGGCTTCCTCTCAGGGCAGTGGTAGCCAACAGATCTTACATGTGATTCATACCATCCCCTCAGTCAGTCTGCCAAATAAGATGGGTGGCCTGAAGACCATTCCAGTGGTAGTGCAGTCTCTGCCCATGGTCTATACTACATTACCTGCAGATGGAAGCCCTTCAGCCATTACAGTCCCACTTATTGGAGGAGATGGCAAAAATGCTGGATCAGGTGAGTATCAATATTGTTCCTTTCCTGGGTCTCACCTTCCTCCATCTAATCCCTTTTTGGGTCATGCTGTCTCATGCGTATTTTCAACCCCTCCAATTATTCTTGTACCCTACTTCAAGAGTAATCTTTCATAAATACTGGTTTTTGTTATGTCTCTTTAATGCTTAAGAATGTACCATGACTCTTTATTGCTAAAACCATGCTTGTCAAATGGGTATGCATATCCTTGAGTAAAATGTGATGCATCATTATGGAACCTCTAAATTATTTGATAGCAAATAATTTAAAGCATTTTATATTTAAAAATATGATTATGTTATAGAGCAAAATGCAAAATTTGAATAATGTTTTAAGATAAAATGCTAACTTCAAAAATAGTTTAAGCTTACTGCGGTACCCACCCTGGGACTTTCCAGGAGAATGTATATATTCTTCTATGCCATTAGGAATGCTTTTGTGGAAAAGTTGAGAACAGTGTTTCTATCCCTACCATATTAAGTTAACCTTAGCTCCTGCCTCTCCCAATGCCTTCCCTTTTCTCTTTTATACAAAAAAATAGCCCTTTTTGAAACATTGCCATCTTCCCTATGTTCCTCTTCATTTGGCATCTATCACCCTCCATATTACTTTTTTAACTTGCCTGTATCACAAGTGTATGGGCATTATTTCTAACTGAATGATAAATTGTTCAAGAATAAGACTATCTTATTTTTTGAATGTGTGCCTCTCCAGAGAACTTAACACAGTGCTAGATAGTAGTGGTCTTGCAACAAATAATTTGATGGACAAACAAACTTGAAAATTTGTCAAGGAGAGAATTCATATGCAATAATCTTGCCTTTTATTCAATTTTTAGAGTCAGTTCAGAATTCAGAAGACCTATGAATTAGGTCTCCCTTCCACCACTGTCTCCCAGCCACCAAGTTCCCCTCCCAGAGGTATCACAAAGTAGTTAAACTAAAGTAAATTTGTAATCAGGAATGATCAAAGAAAATTATGTGGCCTCTGAAGTAGTTCAAGATATTTAGCTTCACTATATCTATAGTATTATAATCAGTTTTGGGTGTCGTGCCTTAGGAAAGACATTGAAAAATTGGAGTATAATCAAAGGAGAGAGATTCAAACCCATGTCAGATGAGGAGCTAATAATGTTGAGCATGCATTAAAAAGGTTGAAGGGCAGTTACATGGAAATGATTAGGAACCAGATTTCAGCTCAGTACAAAAAAGAATTTTCTAAAAATTCTAAGAAAATAATTTTCTATCTTTGAAATTTGATACCCTGTGATCATTCATCACTAAATGTAGGAGCGTAAAAAACAACACACTAAGTGTCAAGTTGTCAGTACTCTGTGGTGGTATTTTGAATAAAAATATCATCACCAATTAGTGTTTGATTATGGTAATGATGTGTTCATAACAATCTTGTTTTTGAGATATGATATCAATTTCCATATAGGAAGGGAGAGTCAAGCAAAAAAAGGAAACAAACAAAAAAGGAAATAAAATTCTCTGTATGAGAGTGTGCTGAGATCAAGGCAGTGAATCCCCTCAACCCCCATAATATCCATCAGTCCATCAGAGCCATTTTAAATAAGCAGAATAAATTTTTTAAATGTTCAATGTAGTTTAAACTAAGGACATTATTAGCCCAGTGGTCTCCAAAATGGGGTGCTTACACCTTGAGGGGCACACAAAACAATCAATACAGGAAGAAAGTACCAATATTTACATTTTCGTATCTTTTATAAAAAATGACAGATAATATTGTATGTTTTTATCATGTACAACATGATATTTTGAAATATATATACATTGCGGAATAATTAAATCTAGCTAATTAACAAATGCATTACCTCACATAGTTGTCATTTTTGTGGTGAGAACATTTAACATCCACTCTTTTTACATTTTTTGAGAATACAATATACTGTCACTAACTATAATCACCTTGCTGTACAATAAATAGATCTCTTGAAATTCCTCCTATCTAACAGTAATTATGTATCTATTGACAAACGTCTCCCCCCTGCCAAACCACTCCAGTCTCTGGTAACCACCATTCTACTCTCTGCTTCTGTGAGATCAACTTTTTTTAGATTCCACATAGAAGAGAGATCATGTGGCATTTGTCTTTCTGTGCCTGGTTTATTTCACTTAACTTAATGTCCTCCAGACTCATCCAGATTGTTGCAAATGGCAGGGTTTCCTTCTTTTTATTGCTGAATAGTGTTCCATTGCTTATATATACCACATTTTCCTTATCCATTCATCCATAATGGATACTTAGGTTGATTTAATATCTTGGCTATTGTGAATATTGCTGTAATAAACATAAAAGTGAAGGTATCTTTTTGACATAAAGGATTTTATTTCCTCTAGATATATACTTAGTAGTGGGATTGCTAGATCAAATGGTAGTTCTGTTTTTAATTTTTTGAGGAATCTTCATACTGTTTTCCAATGGCTATATTAATTTACATTTCTACCAACAGTGTACGAAGGTTTCTTTTTCTCCACATCCTCAACAACACTTATTATCTTTTGTCTTTTGGATAACAGCCATTCTAACTGGGATGAACTGATGATATGTTTCTTTTTGTTTGTTTTTTTCATAATATACACAAAATTTTAGGCTACTAGTACATTTATATCACATCTGCACATGCACACGCAGAGACATACACACATACTGAGATTCATGCTTGAAACTTTTTAGTGAATGATACATGGTCAAAGTATAGAGACAAATGCACTACCTAAATACTCCCTTGCACCTTATCACCAACCTTAAATTCCTTCTATATAGAAATTTTGAAGCTTTCGTTGGATCTTGGAAATTGGTGACCACTTGATTGAGTTTTGTTAGGAATTAGAAACATCCATGGTTAATAATAAGGAATATTTGAGGGCTTCTCCCAACATAGGTGGAAAGGAAAGGTGCTAACATATATCAAGCACCTACTAGGTGCTAGGCGCATGTTTTATGTAGCACAAAGGCCAAAGAAGATGTTCTTACCTCTGGGATAATCCTAGAAATTGATCTTCGGACAGCCAGGGAACTATTCTGAGAGATCAACTCAATAAACATACATTGATCCTGACTTTTCAGCAGACCCTGTTCTGGGAGTTGGAGATACAGAGATGAATCATATCCAGACCCTATCCTAGAGAAATTCACATTAGAGTGGTACCAGAATGCTCCTTACTACCCTTCCCTCAAAGACATTTCTGTTCCCTGCTATGCTAAAAATTTTAAGTGTTATTTTCTTCCCACACAGATACATTTTTCCATCTTTGCTTTTTCTTTATTTCTCTACCTTGCTGCCACTTCTTAATGTGGGCCAAACTGGGAGTCCTGAAAATGATTACAGAGGCACATATGTTTCTGGCTCACACTGCTCTCTTTCTTTGCTTCTAGTGAAAGTTGACCCCACTTCCTTGTCTCCACTGGAAATTCCGAGTGACAGTGAGGAGAGCGCAGTTGAAAGTGGATCCTCAGTCTTACAGAGTCTACAGGGACTACAGCAAGAGTGAGTGCTTTTGTCTTTACTTCAGGTCTCTGTGTATGTGTGTGTATATGTGTGGGTATGAATGAGAATAGCGCTGCAACTAATTATTAAATATATCAGTAAGAATTTGAGGACAACGAGATGTAGGTAAACTGCCTTCCCAGCAAAGGTGTATGAGTTTGTTTGCACACATGTGTTGCTTTGCCTCCCACAGATTTGTCACCCCTTTTCCCCTGGGTGACTTCCATTTGGTAAATTAACCATGAATGGGGTTCTCTTCCCGCATTTATTCTCCAGACCAGGAAGTTACAGAAAGAGAACATAGGTGGGGTTTTTGCTAAGTATAGTTTAACAAGTTTAACAATAGAAGCTGGTAACATTCAGTAAAACAAGCAAGGTGACATTCCATAATACAATTTTCAAGAAGTTAAGTTGATCCAGCAACAAAAGCTTGATCTTAGCAAACATTCTCTTCTTACAGCAATTTCCCAGTATCTTTACATACCAATCAGTAACCTGTCTTTGAGCCAGCAACCTTGCTGTGTTACAATTCTTTATCTTACAACAGAGACCAGCCTGGGGAAAGTTTCCTGTCCCCTGCAAGGTCAACATTTTATATGTACTTTTAAGAAGCTAGGCCAAACTGGAAACTGCAAGACTGGAAAACCAGGCCTTGTGAAATACATTTGCTTTATGTATATTCCACACACATGTGCATGTACATGCATGTTGTGGTAGAGTTATGTTATAATTGTAGATCATCTGTAGATCATCAATTTTACCCTTGAAAAATCTTCAGATTTCCCATAAAGTGCAGTTGTGTACTCTTTCTTTCTATAAGTTTAAAACGGCCTTATCTTTCAATGTTGAAATTCATTGGAAATAGACGGCTTGTAATTAGCAACTATGTTGTATGAAAAATGCATTTCTCTAAGCACAAGAATGAGATTTATTGAAGTAAAATGCTCACATTGTGTGGGAACACATCACTCAAGGAAATATTACCAACTCCCATGCTTTCTCAGGGACCTGAACTTACTGAGCAGAATGGCCTAGTGGAGAGAATTGCTTGCACTATTCCAATTATTTCTTCTCTTGGAGATATAGGGTTAAATTTGCATCAATTAAAAGCAGGTATGAGGTGGCACCACTGTATGTAAGTTAATTTCTTTAGCCTCTACTTTAAATCATTCTTTGGCCTTATCTCTCTTTCCTTGCTCAGACCACCAGCAATGGCCCAAATGCAGGGAGAAGATTTGCTTGACTTGAAGAGAAGACGGATTCACCAATGCGACTTTGCAGGATGCAACAAAGTTTACACCAAAAGCTCTCACCTGAAAGCTCACCGAAGAATCCATACAGGTCTGCCCAACCCCATCCCACTCCACCCCCACATACATACACACAGTCTAAGTCTCTCAGAGACAGAAAGAGAAGTCTTGAAACAAAGTCTAATTCATTTATACTCATGGGCATAGGCCCCATTCATTGGTTTTATCCCAATGTTTTGTTCCTACTCTAAGGCAAATTTTATAAAACCAGCCTAAGGAACACTAAGCTTTGTGTCTTCTGAATAGTCATCATCTCCAGTGAGCACCTGTGGGTATTTCTAACTGGGAAGTCATAACACTGAAGCAAAGATAAAGGCAGTAAAGACATTCCCTCCCTTACTACCAGGTTCCCACAGGTTCTACTGAGCATGGAAAGGCACAAAAGTAATTTAAACTTAAGTGAAATTTAAAAAGGCTTTTGGAGTTCAGCACAATATGCTAACCTATAATGCACCTTTGTTCACATTAGAAAAAAGGTTCACATATATAAGTAAAGCAGACCTGGTGATGATTGTCAAACTGGAGGGCATAGGTCCCATCTGAATAAGGAGAGCTGAGTATTAGGAAACCTAAATTTTAAAGAAAAGGACAAAAATCTAGCTTTTTATGTGAAATGTTCTAGATTTTGAAAGTTGGCATCTAGTTCAAAACTTTATTATAAAACCTGGGATTCAGAGAAACCTGCCTAGAAGCCAGGTGCAGCTGGCAGATTCATCCAACTTCAAAAATTATATCAGTACTTGGCCAATTTGTTTCTTCTACACTCCTACTAACTCCCCCACTCTCCATTGTATTATTTTGAAGCACATTCCAAACATTAAATCATTTGAGTCATAAATACTTCAGAATGTATTTTTAACAGACAAATATTTCTAAACATAAGCATAACACCAATAGCATTTAAAAATTTCTTAGTATCAAATTTCCCCAAATGTCTAATAACTGTTTTTTTAAAGTTCGTTCAAATCAGTGTCTAAACAAGTCTCATTCATTGAATTTGGTTGATATTTCTCTTAACTTTTTAAAAAATCTTTAATTATCCTTTCTCTTGTTTTTTCTTTTATTTGTTGAAGAACCTGGGTCATTTGTCCAATAGAGTTTGCCAAATTCTGGATTTTTCTGATTACAGCTTTATTGTGTCATTTTAACATGTTCCATGTTCTTTATAGTTCCTTTAAACTGACAATTATATCTGGAGGATTAATCAGATTCAAGTTCAATTTTTGGCAATATATCATAAGGAGTACTCTGTGTTTCTCTTGCGTGGCATTAGAAGGCATATGCTTCTTGGTTGCCTCTGTGTGATGTTAAGGTTGATCAGTGGGTTTGGGTCTCTGACCTATAACTTCTAGATGATTATAAAGATAGGATGCAGATCTGAAGGCAGTTGAATGAATTCATTTAATAAGAAACAATGTGGTATAGTTTTAGTATACATATTTCATAGATATATCCAGATAGTATTGAGTTTGTATGTCCTTTCCTTACTACAATCTGTCCCCTTCACTCCCCCCCAAAGACATCAGTTCACATTAGTTCACATATCCCCCCTTTAGGTTTTAAAATTATGCTCCTTGATGGTATAGAGGGAAAAATAATGAACAGGAGGTTTAGAATGCCTAATTTCTAACTCCAGCTCTCCAACTAAGTTGCTGTGTGATCTGATACACGTCTTCCTACCTCTTTGTTCCCAAGTTTCATCAATTGTAAAGTGAAGGGATTGGTCTAGGTGATACCATGACTATTTTTAGTCTGGAACCCTGAATTTCAATGTAGCCAGGTATATGCCCATCCAGAAGTTCCCAGGTGTAGACAGATTGGAAATTGCTTTATAATGCTAATGGCTGACTTCCTTTCCTATGTCACCTCTCTATTCTTGAACTGAAATAACAATAGATATTATTTGCTTATTTTACTTTTCAGATTTCAGTGTTATTTTTCCCCCTAGTGGTGCCAGCTTCCCATATGAAGGGAGAAAATGGGCCTAAAATATAGGCAGTTCTTAGCTTTGAGTTGTATAAGTGAATGCCTTATCTGATAAAAGATCATAACAGCCAGATAGCTGAAGAATGGTGACTACTAATGCCTACTTGAATCTCACTTTGTTTAGATTCAGAATTGTTCTTATTCTACTCAGTTCTTAGGATTGACATGAAATCTTTGCCACAGGTCTGTGATCTCAGGGATAGTCACTTGAAGGTACTTTATGGAAGAAATTTAACTTGCCCTAACTTCTTGACTCACACTAGGGTTAGTCAGTTTAAGGAATGAAGTGACAATTCTGTACATACCCATGTCCCTGGACTATTGTAGTAGGCCTCTAACTGGTCTTCCTGACATAATTCTTTCCTCACTACAATTCACTCTTCACACAGCAGCCAGAGGACTTTCATTTGTTTTTGTTTTGTTTAGATGTAAATCAGATCATAGAACTTCTTCAGCTTAAAATCTTCCATTAGCTTCCCATCATACTGTGAATGAAATCTAAGTTCCTTACAATGTCCTAAAAGGCCTGTGGGATCTGGTGTCTGACTAGTTCCATCACATGACACTTCTTATCAATTAGATCTTAGTTTAAATGTCTTCTGCCCAGGAAAGTCTTCTCTAAGCCTATCTTAAGCAGTACCCCTTCCCAATTATCTGTGTAAGAACACCCTATTTAATTCTTTGGTAGGAAGAGTTTTAAAGTAGGGGAAATAACATAATCAATGTGGGAAGAAGTCAGCTATGCAAAAAAATCTTGGGGAAAGAATGTTCTTGGCTAGGCAGAGTACAAAAGCTGTGAGGTGGTAGTAAGCTTGCCTTGTTATAATAATTGACAGAAGTCCAGCATAACTAAGGCATCCTGAGTGCAGTGGTGGGTGGGGGAACCATTGAGGTGCAAGTGTGGAAAGGGAAGGCCATTTAAGAGGCTACTGTAGTGATCAGGAAAAAATTGATGGCCTGACTGGGATGTTGTCAGTGGAGGTGGAGAGAAGGAGGTATATTGATTATTGAGAAGACACTGATGACTCTCAGCATCCTGTTTTAGGTGACTGGGTGGTTGGGGGCACCATTTATAGAGATGGGGAGTTTGCCAACAATCACAAAACTAATAAGTGGGAAAAGCCCCTTGGAATCAAGCCTTGGTAAACAACCTAGATATACTTTTCTTTATTGCTGGTATGCCACAGGTTTCTTGGGATTGAGGCAGCTGCAGAAATGGCTGCTTTGTTGCCCTCTAAAGACTATGGTTCATTGCTTGGGGTCCCTAGAGTGTGCTATCACTGTCTTTGGTGGATATTCTTTCAGCAGAGAGCCATGAGGTTCTTGCTTATCTGGAAACCCCCTCTAGCATGCAATACAGGCTTTCATCTCCTCTGAGCCTGTAATCATACAAAGCAGGAGATACAGATACAACAGTTCCCATTAAACATACTGTCAAGCCCCAGTAGTTTTATAATGGTGTCAGCCATTCACCCAGACTCAAAATTTATTATTGATTCTTAGTATTCTCTGTGCCCTCAGTTATTTATTTCTAAAGTTCTGTGACTTCTTCCTTATTTTGAATAGCTCTTTTATTGAGGATGTAAACAGAGTGGTCAAGAGCATGTATTGTGAAGTTACACTGTCTGGATTTGACATCCCAGTCTACTACTCACTGCTGAAAGTTACTTCACCTCTCTTTACCTCTGTTTCCTTATCTAGGGATAGTAAAAGTATAAAACACTTACAATATTATCTGGCATGTAATAAACACTCAATAAATGTTAGTTATTATTAATGTTGATCTTTCAATTCCAGTCTCACTGCCACCCCTTTAGTTTTTTTTTTCCTTCTATTTTTGATTCCTCCATCAATTCAACAAATAGAGTGCTTACTTTATGTGCCAAACAAATATAATCTATTTGTAGTAACCTCCTATCATTGTAATCTACCTTACACACTATGGCTAGATAATTTTAATGTACAACTTTGACCAAGTCACTCTTGAGTTAAAGAAAATATTTAGTGTTACCCCCCCCCAACACACACTCACACCACATTGCCTTCATGAAGTGGTGTACCAAGATGGAGAGGGCAGTGGGAGCTGTCTGTCTGTCCTGGAGGGAAAGAGTATTTTATCATCGACATGGTTTAAAATTGGCACACGGTGATAATAAAAACAGACTAACTTTTAGTCAATTTTATTGTTGTTTTAAAGTTCTCTGTTGTCAATGCATCCTCATTATTGCCTGCACATAAGGAATACTGTGCCCACTCTCCACCCTACCCCCTTTGGTATGTCATTGCCCTTTATGCTTAAGTCCAAATTTTCTTTTTTTAAATCCAAAAGTTTTAGTCTGTTTTTTTATAAGAGGGATCATCTCATAGGTACTCCTGTAAAGATGCCCCATGCTCCAGGATGGCTGATCCTATGTATCTATCATTCTCTGCACTGCCTTACCAGACATTGCCTTCAACTGACTGGGTTGCATTTTGTTTTCTGCTTCACCCATCTGAAACCTACCTGTACCTCCATCTCAGTGCCTTCACACTAGCCCAGAGATTATCTAGTCTTGGAAGTTATATCACAGTTACTATCTTTGTCACATAGTTAATACGTATGTTTTATATTTTGAATTCTTTTTCCCTATGTATGTTTTGTTCTTCAATTTAGATGATAAGTTGATGGATGTCATGGGTTGTGTCGTATGAAGTTCATTGGCACAAACAGGAGCTTGTTCAATGATAACGAAAGGTAACTGCTTTTGAAATAGGAAAATGGGCATCGTTGCTGAATTTCTGTACAGTAATTTGTGTGTTCTAGCAATGAGCCCCTATCACCACAGGGTGTCACTGCTTTATAAGTCAAATTTTCTTCATTTGGGTGTAGTGAGGTAGGAATTCTCAGGACAAATTCTTGAGAGATCACATTAAAATGTATAAATAGTAATGTGGCAGTTGAGAGGTACAGAGATAGTATAGAATTATATAGAATAAATAGCGAAAATCCCATTTACACACTCGCAACACCCTCTGAATTCTCATTCATCTCCCAACTGTTAATGATGTACTGTGTAGCTTTTCAGATCTTTTCCTTTGTCTGGTGTGTGTGTGTGTGTGTGTGTGTGTGTGTGTGTATGTGTGTGAGTGTGAGCGTGTGTGTGTGCGTGAGAGAGAGAGAGAGAGGCAGATGCTTAGAAAACATAAATGTGATCTTACTCTGTGTGTGTCTCTGTGTGTGGTCATTCAGTAGGTTTTTCTTTTCCTTTGATAACATTTTATTGGCTATTGGCCATATTTTGGTCTCAATACATCTCTCTCTATCTCATTCTTTCTAGCAGCTAATGTAGCAATTTATGAATATTGAAATGATCAGTAATTAACATCTTTAATCTTCAAAATGGTTGCCTAGGTATAATCCAAAGCTGTGACTCAGGCTGAATTACATTCTGTTGCCCATTATCTGAAAGCTATACAGTTAATTAGTGAACATTTGTGAGGGTTGATGAGTGGTAAGAAGTTGAAAAACAATATTTGCAAACCAGATTGCCACCAGAATTTAGAGCAGCATAAAATTAACTGCCCTGGAGAATTTATAAGAAGGAAGAGGAGAAAGAGCCAGAGAAAGAGAGATGATTAGAATACCAAACATTTTATGTCTGCATTATTGCTTTCTTCTGATTATAAAATAATACATGCTCATTGTAGAAGATGGGAAACAGAAATGTATTAACAAGAAAGCAAACATTACCTTAATCCTATAAGCCAGATTTAACCACAGTTAATATTTATTTTTGCTCATATATCTTCTTTCCTTTTTTATTTTGAAATTTTTGCTATAAGATACAGCATCATGATTTTTAAAGCATTCAAACAGTACAATAGGATATAAAGGAAAAAGGAAAAGTCCTCTTCCCACCATACGTCATCTTCACTTTCCAGATAATCATTCACTGTTAATAATTTCTCTCATAATTTATGCTTAAGTTTATTGATGTTGCCTTTATTCTGAGTATAAAAATGTACAGTGTGTGACCTATACACCATAATGGGGTTGTACTGTGTTAATGTTTTCCTACTACTTTTTTCCTTTCAGCTTTCTATCTTGAGCATATATATCACATATATAACCCAGATGCAACCTGAAGATTCTAAGCATGGAGATATTTCAAAGTTTGATATGACACCTCTACCCATACCTTGGGCCCTTGAGTTTCTGAACTTTCATAGAAGAAGGCCTGTAGCTTTAGCTGAGGTGCCTTTCCAACAAATCACACATTCTTCCTGAGTATATGGCTCTATTTTAGACTATTCAGTAGGACGTATTAGAGGAGAAGATATGGTTACAATAAGTGGTATATAGTGGACAGTGTCAAAGACCTGGATTTGATTCCCAGTTTTATTGCTTACTAGCCATCTTTTAAGAAGAAAATATTTTGAACAATCCTGTGAGGTATTTCTATCCACCTTTAGAGATGAGAAAACTGAGACCCAGCGAAGGAGAAGTGATTATTTAAGATCACACTTCTAGTATATAATTGGCCAGAGCCAATTTGCTTTCTACTCTACCATCTCAGCCTCTCTTGAGGACTTCTGTTAAATAACAATGTCTTATATACTTAAAAATTGCCAAAAGAGTAGACCTTAAGTGTTCTCACCACAAAGAATAAGTATGTGAGGTAATATATGTGTTAATTAGCTAGATTTAGCCATTTCACAATGTATACATATTTGAAAACATGTTGTACACAGTAAATATATACAACCTTTATTTGTCAGATTAATTAATTAATTAAAAAGATGAACCAGAGCATGCCTTCATGCGATTGCCTCACTTTTTGACTAAAACATTGATAAAAGTTATGTATTCTAATGTCTTTCTAGTATCTGAGCATCTTGTCTCTGATTCCCTTTGTTTTGTCATATTCCCCTTTCAGGAGAGAAGCCTTACAAATGCACCTGGGATGGCTGTTCCTGGAAATTTGCTCGCTCAGATGAGCTCACCCGCCATTTCCGCAAGCACACAGGCATCAAGCCCTTCCGGTGCACAGACTGCAACCGCAGTTTTTCTCGCTCTGACCACCTGTCCCTGCACCGCCGGCGCCATGACACCATGTGAGCAGCACAGGCTGCACTAGAGGAGCTGCGCTGGTCTTTTCCTTGTGTGTGTGCTGAGGTCAAGAACATTTTTTCCACTTTGACTTCAACTTGCCTTTGGGATGGCGTGGGAGCAGCCCACTGAACCAGGTTGAGGAGACTGATGAAAAAGTAGCAGATCTCCCATGGGACTCTTCATAGTCCACTTTCACCTCTCCACTAAGCAGACCCCAGTTTTTTCAACCTCCACATGGGTTGAATTCCAGTGTGGCACCCATGGCTGCCTACCCCATCATCACCTCTGCTCTGAAATAGGACATCTTTCCTACAATAACAAAACAGGAATCAAACTCAAGGCTGTGAACATACACTGCTTTTTTCCTCCTATTTTTCTTTTGTTTTCTACTACTCTTATCCATATGTTTTCTTTTAAATCGGTACTTGAAGGTGGTTGGTAGTGTCTTAAAATGACTTTTTTCAAGTTCCCAAATGGAAGGAGAATAACAATGTAGTTCATTGGTAAGATTTACAAGGATTTGGGTCCAGAGAATAGGGCACATTCTCAGTGAATAAGCTGAGTACCATACCAAACTCAAAGGTTTTGTAAATCCAATCCTGTAACTTCTTACAGTTTGGTTTTCAAACAGTGCTGGTGCTTCTGCTTCTTGAGTCCATTAAAGAAAATGAGGTACCTTCTTCTCTTCCTCCTTCACCTCCTTTTCTTCCTCTTTCTCCTACTTCAAGATTAAAGATTTTGTTGCATAGTTACATTCTTTGTTAGGTTAAATTTGGAAAAATATTCAAAGCACACATGAAAATGTCAGTAGGGAGAAAAGTGTTTCAGGAGAATATGTTGGGCAGTGACAGGAACAAGCAGACCTGGGATGATCCTGAGAACAAATAGAGGGAGACTTTCATTTAGATAGGATATCAAAAGTGCTGTTAATTGCAAACCTCATTCAAATGGCGCCTGTTGAGACAATGTCTTGAGGGGCTGCACTGTACTGTTTATTTTTTGTTTACATAAAGCAACTGTTGAGTATTTTGCATGATGAAAAATCACACACAGGGACCATGTTATACAGAGGTGAGAGGTTGGAAGAAAGGAATTTTGTTCATTCCATAGCATTATTGGCATTCATTCCTGTGTTTCAATGGAATATAAGAGGCTTCTTGTGAAAATTAGCATACAAAAGGCCATTTGATGTTCTGCAACTGCTATGAACACCTAAGCCATTTCTTTTAGCCATTACAGCAGGTTGCATAATATACACATGTAGTTGACCAATCAGATTGCTTTATAATATTCTCTGGAGCATAAAATCCTCTGTTCCTAGTCCTGGACCTCAGATCTACCTCCACATGGCATATTTACTCTCCTGGGGTTGAGTGGGGGAGGGACTTTGCATTACTTGGATTTAGACTCAGCCTCTCTCCTAAAGGTTGTCTTCATATTGAACCCTTTTTCCTTGGCAGATATTCAACCAGTCCCTGCTTGAATACTTTAAGTTACTACCTCCAGAGGCTGTCCATTCTGACTAAATGACATAATTCTAGTACCAAGAAGGGATCCTGTTAGCCTTCTAGTCTTACCCATTCCTCATAATTTACAGATAAACCAAATATGGGTCAGACACTTTCTCCTGTTCCTTGAGGCCTTATAGACCTGCACACCCATTCTCCCAGGGATCACATTATTAAACCAAATTAAAGAAAATTTTATGTGACTGGTTGTAATGTCTGTCCAATTTTATATGCGATGCTTCAGAAAACTTTAGACCACTCAAAAATCATTTACAATTGATTAAATCATAAGTAAAATGTGCTTGTGTTCATTGCCACATGACATTATGCACACAGTTTTCCTATTCTAACACTTCCATAATATCTATATTTTATTTACCTCATATCAACTCACAATGTCTTTCCAGATCATAAATCCTCCATAAACTCAAGGACTGCCTGTATTTTTCAAAATGACACATGGGTTTTTACTATTATCATCATTATTTTGATATGGGCTTTTCCCTGATGTTTGGTGTGCATATTCCAAACTGTATACTAATTGCTAAAACACTAGGAAATATCTAAAGCAGATCTGCTATAGGTGATCTCTGTGTAGCTGTAAGACATATTCGTAAAGGTGAATTACCGTCATACATAGGTTTAAGCTTATAATTAAGAAGTTGGTATAGTATTTCACAGTTAAGCCCAAGGTCTTTTACATTTTCTCTACAGTTTGGATCCTGAGACTCCTTTTCCAGAGTTCGGTACTGACTGTTGCCATTAAGATCTCAGAATCTTTTGCACTGGGACATATGATTGAATAAAGGCTATCAAATATACTGTTGTGCTAATTAGAATGATCAAATTAGGATCCCAAATATTGGTGTCCCTGACATCCCCAAGCCTTCATTCAAATATTTTTTTCAAGGTTATGACTTTGTGAATGCTTTGTTAATTGTCTAAAAGCAATTTTAACCTTATTATAACAATTCTAGCTCTATTCTCATTGCCCTCTCCTCTTCAAAAAATGATAAAAACTTTCTGATTACTTGCATATGCTTTAGGAAATATGTCAAGATTTATTAAGGAAATTTCATAGAGTATAGGGATTTAAATACAGTACAGCACAGAGTTACCACACCAAAGGCACAAAAGAATTTGCTAGATAGTGAGGTAGAAAGGAACTAAAATCAGTCTCCCTTGGGTAGTATTTGTAGTTTAATTGAATTTTCTGCACTTAAACCAGCAAAGCACTGTTAATGTGGACACTTGTCTAGGGCATGGAAAATTGCCTTGTTTGATAAAGTTGTATAATATCCTGGTATTTGTTGCCATGAAATTCATCCGTAGATGGTTGGCAGTTGAACATAACTATTGATAATTATAATTGTAAAATTTAGGAAAAACTACAAAGAGTGTGAACTGGTTGGGTAGATTAGGTGCATTATGGGCAAGACAGATTTGTGAGACTAACTTCTTTTTAAATATATGTTTCATTTTGGAACAGTTTCAGATTTACAGAAAAATTGCAAAGATAGTACAGAGAGTTCCCACGTGCTCCACATCCAGTTTCCCCTATCATTAACACTTTACATTAGTATGGTGCACTTTGTTACAATTAATGAAGCAATATTGATTCATTAATATTAACTGAAGTTCATAGTTTATTCAGATCACCTTAGTATTTACCTAATATCCTTCTTCTGTTCCAGCACCCCATCCAGGATATCACATTACATTTAATAGTCATCCTCCATAGGCTCCTCTTGATTATGACAGTTTCTCAGACATTCCTTGTTTTCAATGACATTGACAGTTTTGAAGAGTATGTTCCTCAGTTGGGAATTATCTGATGTTTTTCTCATGATTAGACTAGGGTTGTGGATATTTGGGAGAAAGACTACAGAGGTGAAGTGCCATGTTCATTACATCATATTTATGTGACTTATTCTTGATGTTAACCTTGATCACCTGGCTGACATAGTATTTGTCAGGTTTCTCCCTTCTACTCTTTTCCCTCCCTTCCATACTGTACTCTTTGAAAGGAAGTCACTATGTGCAGTTTGCACTTGAGGAGTCATGAGTTATGCACCACATCCTTGAGAGGAATTATCTAAATAAATTATTTGAAATTCTTATGCATGGAAAATTTGTCTCTTCTCCCCCATTTGTCACCTCTCTCAGGGTGATAGAGATGCAAAAGATTACTCAAAGCCCATTTCTCCAGAGAAATGAGAGGCCCAAAGGGCTTAATCCCAGGAGGAATTCCTTCAAGGGAGAAGGATCCCAGGAATAACCCTGAATCAGGTTTTCTATTTTTATTGTCCAGGCAAAAAAGTTACAGAAGAAATACAGGTGGTTAATCAGTCATCATGAAAAAATAAACTGGCTACATGACAATCTTCATTAAAGCAGGTACAGCTTAAAAATAGTTCAAGCAATTTACCATCAAAGGAGTCAAAAAACTAAACTATGTGAACTACAAAAAGAAACAATGAGATAATCACCATGGTAGTGCTTAGTTCACTAAGAAACTTAAAGAAACAGCTGAAGCCAAGATGTGGAACATCCCCCAGCCATTAAGCTAGAAGCTTTTAGCTCACATACTTTCTCATCATTTAGGTTTAGCTGCACCAAGGATGACTGTCCTTAGAGCAACCACTTTTGCAGTGTTACAATTTTCTTATCTACAACAGAGACTTTAGTCTTGTGAAAGTTTTCTGTCATTCCCAATCTTAGCATTTCTATGTGTATTGCTAAAAAGTTAGGCTATTCCTTAAACTACAGGGCTTTGGCCCTGCTAAATACTAAGGACTGTGGTCCTACTAAGCTAAAAGTTAAGGCCCTGTGAAATACATGTGTTTTATTAATGCTAGTATCCTCCACTCCCATTTATTTATACAATCATTTATTTATATCAACATGGACTCATGGATATTTATTTTAAACTTTGGGTTATAATCCAATATTACTTTATTTATTTTGTTGCTCAAATTATTCCATCTTCGGCCATTGGGAATTCTTTTGTGTTGACTCTTAAGTCCTTTTGATGTACCCCTATCAGTTTTTTTTTTTTAGCATGTCCATCCTTTCTGGCACTTTAAGATATTCCAGGCTCATCTTGTATATTTTTTGGACCACTCCAATAGTTAGCCATTTCTTCAACTAGTCCTACCTTGTTCTTTTTTACTGTAGAATTTTATTAGAAACTAAGATCTCAACACTAGGTATGCTCAGTGCTAATGAAGTATTGTTGCTTCTAGGCCTTCTCCACTGAAAGAGCAAGGAAATATATGAGGTTACCTCAAAAAGCTCACGGAAAAATAAAATTAAAAGATAATACAAATCTTTCTATGAACTTTTTGAAGTACCCTTGTATATACATACACATATCTATGAATATTTCTTTATGTAAACATCTGCTTCTTCATTTACCTAAACGAGTTCATAAGTGTCTTCAACTCTAATCTATTACTGCATGAATCATTCTTGCTTCTTCCCCTTATCTGTAACCTTCCACTCCAAGTGAGAAACGTGGCTCCCACCCTCTGCCACTTATTTACTTAATTTTTCAATTCCAGCATACACATGTAGTGGTATCTGAATTGGTAACATGTACACCTGTGGAAAACAAAGTTATCAACTGGAGCATGGTGTTTATATACATGATAGTAACATTTTTAGCACTCCAACATTTTTTCACAGTTGACTATCAGTATTTGTGTACAGTATGTGATGATCAAATCAATATTATTGGCATGTTCATCATTACAAATCATAATTACTTTTTGTGTCTCTTAACTGATTATTACCTATCTCCCCTCCCCCTCCCCCTTTCCCACCTCTAATAACTATAGGTCTGTTCTCTCCTTCTGAAAGTTCAACACTTTATTATGGCCTTTTATTCTTTCTTTGTTTCTTAGCTCCCACTTATGAGTGAATACGTATAGTATTTCTCTTTCTGTGCCTGGCTTATTTCACTTAACATGATTT